ACACACACACACACACATACATGCGCAAATTTTGTACTTTATAATGTATGGAACATCAAAGCTTTTGTTCTTTGGATCGTTTTCGTTTCTTTTGTAATTAATGGACGGGGAAGAGAACTTGTTTTAAATTTGGGCTCAATAAAAATGGTGTTGGACTAGTAATTCAGTTTTTATTCCTATTCCGCACAGCAAGCATATAAGCAAGCATTGCAATACCATAAAATAATTCCGAAACAAAGTGCAGCAACACCACCCTTGACTAGGAGCTCAATGTCAGCATCAAATAGGTCTTCTTCTCCTAATTCTGCTAGCATCTCTGGAATAAATGAAAACGAGGTAATTCAGATACTGCGCTCAGTATCATCATTTTCTCTTACACATTTTTGAATCCTAAAAATTAATTATCTTAAATGGGTTAATTCTCTTCTCTACCATATCAATAAAGGTGAAGTTCAAGATTGCAACATGTCACAATTCACTGAGTGAGAATAGAGCTGCTCTAGCTGAGGTTTGTGATTAATACTTTCGTCGTTGGTACATTTTCTTGATTATTTTTCTATGATTTAACTCGTGGAAAATCTTTTAGTGGATAAATAAATTATAATTTTCCTCGTATGTATTTCTATGTATATTTTATATTTTTATAGTTTCATCATATGCTGTAGTCTGAAGGCGTGCATAAACTTCAGCCAAAATGAGTGGCATCTTTGTAAACTGAACATTGACTTCATTTTCCTCATGATAAACAGATGGAGGGAATTCGAAGCACATCAAGGAATTTAGAGATGAATCTTATGATGGCAAAGCTTTACCGAAATTCTAGGCATACTCGCTCTGCTATTGGCTGTTATAAGGAGTGTTTGAGGTCTGTCATGTTGGCATTCAGTGAAAATGTCATAACCTATTAGTATTTTGAGTTAATTCGGGGGTGACCGGGCTGATATATTTCTGTCTCTATGGTTCTGCTTTCCCGACTTGTGAGGGAAGCAAAATAGGGAATGCAATTGAGTGTGTGATGCAATATTGGGAAATAATGTGCATTTTAATCAGAATGGTTAGCTGTTCCTAGCCCAGACAATTGGACTTTGGAATCAAATTTGGATTAAACAAATTGCTTTCTCATAAATAATAAAAATACGAAAATATATATATTTGTTTGCAAATTCCTGCTTCTTTTTTACATTGTATATAATTTTGTTGGCATTGTATACGAGTTTGGTTAGCTTTCAATCTTAAATTTTGTGACTCTTTGCAAAATTGTCATTCTTGAACCTTGCATTTTGGATGACGTTATTAGAATCTCAATGTGCATGCTCATGGGACATAATGAAGTCACATTTTGGTAATTTCATATTTTTGTTCACAGGCAGTGCCCCTTCATAATTGAAGCTATAACAGCCTTAGCTGAATTGGGTGTTGCTGCCAAGGATATTATTTCACTATTTCCACAGGTTTGTTTCGTTAATTAACTCTATATACAGCGTAGGTTATGTTATGTTAT